CTGCACTCCAGTCTGGGTGACCGAGTGAGACTCCAACTCAAAAAAAAATAAAAAAATAAAAATAAAAATTGTTGTTTAACATAGAATAGCCTTATTTTATTATTTGTTTAGAGACAGAGTCTCACTATGTTGTTGCCCAGGTTGGACTGCAGTGGCTATTCACCATAGCTCACTGTAGCCTTGAACTTCTGGGCTCAAGCGATCCTCCTGCCTCAGCCTCTGGAGTAGCCAGGACTACATGTGCACACCACCATGCCCAACTTATTATTATTTTTAAACGACATAATGTTTTAAAATTTATCAGTATTAGGTTCTCTCTCTTTTTTTTTGAGTCAGAGTCTCACTCCATCGCCCAGGCTGGAGCACAGTGGCATGCTTATGGCCATCCCAGTGTCGACCTGCTGGGCTCCAGCGATCCTTCCACCTCAGCCTTCCAAGTAGCCGGAATTACAGGCGCTGGCTACCACACCCAGCTAATTTTTGATTTATTGTAGAGACAAGATCTCACCAAGTTGCCCGGGCTGGTCTCGAACCCTGGGGCTCAGGCAATCCTCTTGCCTTGGCCTCCCAAAGTGCTGGGATTACAGGCTGAGCCACCGTGCCCAGCCTGTTCTATTTCAAAATAAATGAATAGGAAACAGCTCTGTGCTCTTGGGCAAGTGATGATGTTTCTCCAGGTCTAGGCAGTGTATGGTCCAGATCTGAGCTGTTCGACCTTTGGCAAGCAACCCTCTCTGTGCCTCAGTGTCCCCATCAGTCAAGTGGGCACAGTCAGAGTACAGCATCCACCTCACAAGGGTGTTGTAAGAGTTAAATGACCTGTGATTGATGAAGTGCTTCAAACAATACCTGTCTGCCACTATTATGGAGGACAACCTTTGGGGTTCAAGTCCTTTCCCACCTCAGGGCCTTTGCCTCAGCCGTGCTCCCTGTCTGGAATGCTCGTACCCTCCCTCCCCTTCCACACATACACTCTTCCCATGGCCAGCTCCTTCCCATTCCCTCTGAGAGTCCAGCTCAACATATCATGTCTGGCCACAAGATCTAAAACTGCCCTCATCACACAGGATAAATACATACAATTTTGTCCATCTGTTTAAAAATAAAATCACTCTCAACCCCTGGTTAAGCTCTGCTGGGTCACTGGATTCTATTTCTTGCATAAAGCCTTACGACTCTCTGAACATCTTGTTCAAGTAGCAGGTTATTTCACTGTCTCTCTGCTACCTGTACACACCACAAGGGCCGAGATTAGGACTCTGAAATCAGAAGGACCAGAGTTCAAGTTCTGCTCTGGCCAGATCTGCTAAAGCAGATCATTTCCTTGGGCAGATCATTTCCTTTTCTGATCCTCAGTTTCCATAGCTGGAGAATGGGTTTATAAAAGGCTACTTCACTGAGTGTGTAATGAGACCACGTGGCTAAAGCACTTGGCATGTAGATTTCATTAAATGCTGTAAATCATTATTTTGTTATCATTTTAGGCCTGAATGCTTTGGGATTGTCTAGGCTACAGAGACTTTTGAATCCTCACATATTGGGACCTTACAGCACCGTCGTTAAGACAACAGTCTTTGGAGTCAAGTGTATCCAACTTTAAAGCCAACTTTAAAGGTTTGATCCCCTAACTTGCTCTTGGCCTTGGGCCAACATTTTCACCTCATCTTAGTTTCCTCCTCTCTGACATTTCTACCCCACAGGGTTGTCAGGAAGACTGAATATGTGTGATAAAGAGTCCCGGCTCAGGACTCAGATAGAACTGCATTTGACTCCTACTTATCAGGAGTCTTGGATAAGGATTTCATTTCTTCAGCTCTGTATCTTCACCTGTGCCACTGGCCTCAGAAGAATTGCTGGTAGTATTTCATCGGGAAATATATTAATTTGTTATTATTCTTAAAGAGTTCTGAATTCTGGCACCTTCATTATGAAAATCAGGATACTGGGAGATAAGACAAGGTATACAAAGTCTTGGAAATACTCCTGGCAGATAACAAATACTCAATGAATCCTTCCTGGACAAATAAATGAACAGCTAACTGAAATGGACTGTATCCTCATTTCACCATATCATCACTAGCATTGGGTACTACCATTTTTTTGTCAAAATTTTGCTAATGTTTCTGTCAGGTGGCCATTATGATTTCAGGGGTTTGAAATTGCACATCTTTGATTTCCATAGTTGAGTGACTGTGGAGGGGAATGATGGGAAGAACTAGTGTGAGGTATCAGGAGGAACTCCAGCCCAGCCCGTCCTACCTGCTGTTGAGATGGTCCTGGCAGGAGCGCACCTCATCCGAACTGGGGTGGCCTCCTTCCACCAGCTCCTGGACTGTCTGGTTCACATCCAGGACACGGCCCATCAGACTGTTCATCTCCTGGTCCAGGCTCTCGAATCTGCGGAAGGAGGATGGAGGATGGAGATGCTCAGAGGCCTGGCCCCTGGTTTGTGTGAAACTGCCTTCTCCTGGTTGGACTCCTGACTCTCCAGCCTCGCTTCTTGGACTCTTTTGTTGGCTCCTCCTCTGGCACTGGCTGCTTAAATGTCGGATTTCTCATCACTCTCTCCTGGCCCCCTGAGCTTCTCCTCACACCCTCCCGGCCATCTCACCCACCCTCAGCCTCCGTCCTCAGCCTTGAACACGTGACCTCCATGTCTCAGCCTTCAGCCTCAATCTCTTTCCTTTCAATCCTGTCTCCAGCCTGCTGTATACCTCCTTGGGGCCCCTCACAACCGCTGTGACTCAAACTGCCCTCAGCATCTCCCCTCAGATGTGTCCTCCCATCCCAGGAACAGTCCCGCCATCCCCCAGATGGTCTCCCAACCATCCCAGACCGTCAGCCCTGGTGGCCTGTCCACTTGCCCTCCTGCTCTGGTTCAGACCTGTTCCCTTCCACCTGGGTCCTCACCCCAGCCACCTCTCTGGGCTCCCAGGCACCACCATCACTCCCCACCAACCTCCCTCCCTGTGGCAGCCAGGGAGATATTTTTTTAAGTTGGGCAGGGTTCTCCCATGTTTACAACAATGTTTAAACAACTGGACAACTGTGGGCACAGCAAGGACAAGGAGTAGTCCTGTGCTTCTAGCCATGCCCAGCACAAGACCTAGAATAGAGCAGGCACTCAGCAAATACCTGCTGAATGAATGAGTGGATGAACAAGTGCTCAGAGAGTGCTCAGAGAGAGACAGAGAGAGACGCAGAGGGAAAACAGACATTGTTCATCCACTGATTTAACAACTCATTTCTAAGTCAACCAATATACAAATCAGTATGTAATGGGTCAATGGGTGGTAAGTGCTACCAAGACATGTGATAGAAGATGAAAGAAAAAGTGACTAAGGTTGGAACTGTTTTTGTTTTTTGGGTTGGAGTCTCACTCTGCCATCCAGGTTGCAGTGCAGTGTGGCACAATCACTGGCTCACCACAGCCTCAACTTCCTAGGCTCAGATGATTCTTCCTCCTCAACCTTCCCAGTAGCTGGGACTACAGGTGCATGCCACTGCACCCTGCTAATTTTGTAAAATTTTTTTATAGAAACAAGGTCTCACAACATGTTGCCTACGCTGGTGTTGAGCTCCTGGGCTCAAACAATCCTCCTGCCATGGCCTCCCAAAGTGCTGGGGTTACAGGTGTGAGCCGCCACGCCCAGCTGGAGTTATTTTTAAATAATTTTTTGTAGAGCTGGAGGTCTTGCTATGTTGCCCAGGCTGGTCTCAAATTGCTTGCCTCAAGCAATCCTCCCACATTAGCCTCCCAAAGTGCTGGGATTACAGGTGTGAGCTGGGATTTCCTGACCTGGAGCTATTTCATTAGCTAGGAGGTGACATCTGTGCAGGGGTAGGGGTGTCCCAAGAGAGGGGCCAGACTGAGGTGTCCCTGGAGGAGCTTACTTAGGTCATTAATTTCGTGCCAGGTGAATGCAGGCCTCAGTAATGGGAGCACATGCTGTGGAATTCTGTTTCCCCAGGCATTTGCTAAGTACGTGTTCTGCGTGTATTCGCCATGTACTGTTTGCCACAAGCCCAGATAGGGACTTACGTCGCCCTCATTTTACAGATGGGCAAACTCAGGCTCTGAGAAGTTAGGCAAGTTGCAGAACTGTCACAGAGCTGGTTAAGAATGAAGCAGGACTGGGACCCCTAGTTCCAGTTCGAACGAGTATGGGAACTGTGGAACCGACTGGAAGACGAGACTGGGTGCGTGAGGAAGGGGACCCGGGAGGCCCCACAGTCGCGCGCTCACCGGTGCTGCACCACCTCGACGTCGTCCAGGGAATCGGGCACGCGCATGGCGAGCAGCCATTGCTCCTTCTCGCCGATCCACAGCTCGCACGCGTGCACCTCGCCGAACATGCGATAGACGGCGAGCGCGTCCCGCAGCCACTG